GGAGGAGTGCTGGTTCAGTGGTAGAATCCACATCTTCCATTCAGGAGACCCAGGTTCAATTCCTGCCAATACACCTCACGCACAGGCACCGCCTAGCCATCAGTGGAAGCTTGCATGTTGCTATGGTGCCACTCAGGTTTCAATAGCCCTTCCAGCTAAGAGGACTTAGAAGAAAGGCCTGGAGATCTACTTCCAAAAATCAGCCAGCAAAAATCCACTGGATCACAGTAATCTAATCCCTCCAGATCACAGAATGGCATAGGGCCTCGCAGGAATTTGTTCCATTGTGCCTGGGCCACCGAGAGATAGAAACCAACATACAGGCAGCTAACAACAGGAGAGACTTTGGGACCTGCGATTCTATTTTTAAACCTGTATCCTGGTTACCAAGTGCTGGCACGATGACATAAACATTAAGAGAGAAATGATAGAAATGGATGGCTTTAACGAACAGAAAGTTATTCTCTCACAGCAGAGGAGGCTAGAAGCCCAGATTCGGGGTGCCAGTTTTAGGGGAAGGCATTCTTTCTTTATTGGCTGGGGGGAAGGCATTTGCTTCCTTCCAGAACCAGTGGCCCAATGTGCTTGGAGATCTTGACATCCATGTCCCCCTGGGTCTAGAAGTTCTGAGCGCAGGGACCACGAATCCAAAGCACATGTTCTACTCCGAGCTCTGCTTTCTTGGTGGAGTTGAGCTCCTCCTGCCTGTTTCCTTCTTTCTCCTTTATCTCCCTGGAAGCATAGTGCTAACTCATTGTACTGCTAACCATCAGGTCAGCAGTTCAAAACCTGCAGCCCCTCGAGGGGGAAAGACAGAGCTTTCTGCTCCTGTACAGAGTTATAATGTTGGAAACTCCCTTCTTACCCGTTGATCCTGTCCTACTGGGTCTCTATGAGATGGCACCAAGTCAATGACAGTGAGTTTGTTTTATCCCTTTTGTTTTTTAAGATAAAAGGCTATGTAGGCACAGCCCAAGGAGATTCCCCTTCCGTTGATCAGGGCTGTGACTTGATTTTTGTATAGGGTCGCAGTGTCGGCACCAACTCGATGGCAGGGAATGCGTGAGTGACTTGGTTTATCGAACTTCATCCCACCCTTGTCCCTGTACAACTAATTGGCTGATCACATCAGATCACATCATGGGGGCTGGTAATATAGTTACCAAATTACATCATGACCTCATTTGGAAACCACTGACAATCATGGCCGGGCCAGCTTGACAACATATCTGAGGCGGGCAGCCCTGATTCGATCCATGGCAACCCGTTTTGGTTTAAAAAACAAAACAAAAACATCTACCTCTGGTTCTAAAGCTTCAGTTGGTGATAATTGACTCATTTATATGTGTTAGTTATGCATTTGTCAAAGCATGACTCCTAACAGCTTAGTTATGATAAATTAAAAGTGGTGTTCACGTAAATTCTGCACTGCTTTTTATCCATATGCT